TTTTAGTCCAGCGGTACAAATATTTACACCCAAATAAAAGCTTGTTGGTGTTAAAACTTTCAAAATGTTGCTATTATAATTTGAAACACAAAGGCGTTTAGCYGGTTATTATYATTTATAAATAATTAGTAATTGGTAATTATTATTATTAAATTATCAGTAGGCGTACTAATTTGTATTTAGGTATAGTATTTAAGTACTCGCTATTTAAAAAATGTATTTATGATAAATTATCATTTATAATGTTAATATATTTTAAAAATTAAGTTTTACGGTCTGAACATCAGGAATTTATTTTTTGAAAAACTCATAAGTGGATTTGATTTAATGGGAAAGTTATCTTAAAAGTTGACAGCAATTTGTTATTGATATAAAAATAATATTATCCACCTATAAATAATAGTAATATGCATTTTTGTAATTTATACGCATGTCTTATCTATGTAAATTTTTCGTCGCTGAACTCAAAATTATATTAGAGTTAGTTCGCCTGTTTTTTTTTTTTTTGTATCTCATAACATCGAAAAATTCTTCAAGTGCCAAATATTTGTGTTTATTATTCCTGCTTTATGCATCATACCTTTTTTTATAGTTATATTATTTATTTTTTACTAAATAAAATAAATTAAATTTTTTTTCGGAATAGTAAATATCCACGATGATCGTATTTTCTCTTAAACTGATATTCATAATGATGATTAGTCACCCATCGATCCAAATGTTGGTGGCCACTGGATAGTACCTATGTTAGTATATTACAATTTAAAGTATCAAGGAGATTTTCATATTGAGCTATATATTTTCATATTAAGGATTATTGATTTGTCATCAACACTGTGCAAATAGATATCGAATTCGATAAAAATGTTGTTTTAAAAGTATCGTGCTGTTTGTAATAAGTAAAAATATCGTTGTATATTGCATCATGTACCTATGATTATGTGCAAAATAAGTCAACGCCACTATTTGGGAGACGACAGATTGGACACTAATAAGTAAGTGTCTGAAATGGCTTAAGTTCTGATGGACTACCTACGAAGATTTTATTACTGTGATAT